TTTTTTTTTTTTTTTTAAAGTGCGACGGGTATAATGGATTTTTATTTGGCCTTTTTGGGGGCTGAAGAAAGAAGATTTTAGAAAAAAGAAGACGTCAAATGGTAAGTTTAATTTTTTTTTTTTTTTACAGGTTTGTTATTTTATTCCCCCCTCACTATTTGTAGGGTGAGGGGGGTAGGTAGGGGATAGGTTTTTTTGGGTGGGGGGTTGGTGACTAGGGGCTTGGGACCCCTAGTCACCTTGATTGGGGGGGGATGTTTCATTTAGGGCCCCCACCCACCGCTCAGGGGTGGGGGCCAGGGGGGGGAGGACAGTAGGTCCCCCCCCCTTATTGTTTTATTAGGGCCCCCACCCACCGCTCAGGGGTGGGGGCCGGGGGGGAGGACAGTAGGTCCCCCCCCTTATTGTTTTATTGGGGCCCCCACCCACCGCTCAGGGGTGGGGGCCGGGGGGAGGACAGTAGGTCCCCCCCCTTATTGTTTTATTAGGGCCCCCACCCACCGCGCAGGGGTGGGGGCCAGGAGGGGAGGAAGTAGGTCCCCCCCCTTATTGTTTTATAAGGGCCCCCACCCACCGCTCAGGGGTGGGGACCAGGGGGGAGGACAGTAGCCCCCCCCTTATTGTTTTATGGCCCCCACCCGCCGCTCAGGGTGGGGGAGGGGGGGAGGACAATAGGTCCCCCCCCCCCTTTTTGGAAATATGTCTTTTTTTTCCCACAGGCTGCTCACTGTTTAGTAGACATGCCCCTACTCGCGGTATAGTGATTAGGGGCATTTGGGAGATTTAAATCTCTCTTGTGCTATTATGGGGGTCATATTGACCCTCATAGAGTGAGAGGGGGTACTGGGGGGCTTATGAAGTGGTGGGGAGCACTGCTCCCTGCCGCTTCTATAGTTACATATTACAAGGAGGGAGCTGCACGCCGGTAGCTCCCTCCTTGTAATAAACTGCACGAACAAACATACACTGATACATTATGTTTGTTTGTTCGGCTGATCTTTCTATTCACTCATTCGTCTGTCTGATGAATGAATGAATAGATGAAATTCCCGTTCGCATTTCCAGGTGTTTCACTGGGCATGTGCGGGAATCTCACAGTCTGCCTAGTGTGGGCAGATGACGTGTCCCACAGGGACTTCACCTACCCACACAAAGATGGCGGCGCCCTGAATCAAGATCGGGGCAGAAAATAAGGATTAAAAAATAGGTAATGTGGGGTGCTTAGGGGCATTTGGGGGTGACTAGTGGGTCAATTGGATGTAGTGGAGGCGGGAGGGGGGTTAAAAAAAAAACGGGTTTCGGCATGACAGTGCCGCTTTAAAGAGAATGTATTAGAATAACTAGTGTCTCCGAAGGAGAACGCTTTTGAGTCACGAGGTATCTATTACACATTACATTTGAAAAGCACCAAAAAGGACCTGCATACTCATTCTGCTTTCATACACAAAAAGCCATTAACATTACTTGAAAAGGACAGTACCCATAGATCCATCACTACGGACTAAGATCTTGTCTGGAGACTGCTGTCGGCTCACAATGTCTGACCCAATCGAAGGTTTAACTTAAAGCCACCAAGTATTGTCAGTCAGAAACTCATTATCAGGTGCTCTCTATGTCAGTTTGAATGCTTTTGGATCTTTAGAAATACCAAGTGCTAGATGCAGAGTGCATTTTTGATGCATTAGACTTTGACCTGGTAATGGACTATAAGATCACTGAAGGTTTTAATTATTTTGTCTGGTCTACCTGGGTCTTGTTTTGTCTTTATTGTGAATTTTCACATTCATTAACACATTTTTGATAAGATTTGTAACACCAAGTTTGGTTTGAATATGTCTTATACAGTATAACAATATGTCTTTACCTCCAGGTCCATCTCCTTCAGAGCAAACCCAAAGTGTGTCTATCTCAGCAACAACAACAACTGTCAGTGTTGCAACATCTGTGCCAGTAGTCTCTTCAGTACAAACATTGTCTCAGCAGTTGTCTCAAACTTTACATGCCACAGTTCCTCATGCCGTGCCTCAGCCAACAGCAACGATATCTGCCTTTCCTCCGGTCATGGTACCCCCTTTTCGTGTCCCCCTTCCAGGCATGCCCATACCTTTGCCAGGTAACGTATCTGTTTTTAGCTATCACATTGAGTAAATCCACTTTTGTGTGGCTTTTTACTGCTACGGACATTATTTTGTAATGTGCATACAAATATAGTAAAATGAGGATTAGGGTTTTTCTTTGGATTCATTGCATATTGTATTTTAATTCCATGCTGTGAGTAGTCATTCTTCAGCTTTATACTGCAATTTGTTTCATACATATTTTTTTTTTCTTCTTTTGTGTTCCATTCTGAGTAACCTTAGTCCTTTCATGGACATTGATAAGTTATGAACTTTTGCGTGTTGTTTAAAGTGCATTCTGTTGCAGTTTATACAACTCAACAATTCATCAAATAGTATGTGCCTTGGTTTTAAGCAATAATCAAAGACAAAAAATGTGGTCACTCTGCGTAAGCCTATTAATGTTGGCAGTCTCTGCTTTGCAGTTTCTGTTGTAATAAAAAAGGTTTTGTACAACAGTACATCAAGTAATAGCAGTGAGATATTCTAAGAAGTATTGTAGTCCTGTGAAGAGTACCTACAACCTTGTATCAAAGAATTTTGGCATATGTTAAGCTACATGAATGCACCAAGAGTCAAATGCTAGGTTCTCCTTCCGAACGTGACTTATTAAATTGTGATTATATGTGCAGTTGTTCCCCAGCGAAGTGTCCAGTGCTCTTGCATTTACAAAGAGATTATACCATTAGTTCTCATTAACAAGTGTCTTTACCAATTGGATTAACACTATCTGCCCACTATAAATTGCTTACTCTAACAACATTCCCTTCTTTTTGTGCAGAATATAATTTAAAGCATTTTACAGTAATAGTTTCCCGAGCTAATGTTACATTTTAAGAATAGGTTGTCAGCTAAACCCATAATATTGGAGACACCATTTAAACTAACATAGCATTTAAATTTGTCAGGGATAAATATCCACTCTTCCTTGGCGAGTGAAAATTTAGCCCTGGAAGGTATACTCATCTTAAATACATTTGACCTCTTTTTTAACCTGTCTTGGTTGCAAAGCATTCTAGGAAGAATGAATAATTGAACTGGAACGGGTTAAAAAGTGCACATATATATTTAACTCCTTTTTAAAATCAGAAGAAGAAAAAATAAACTAAATTTGCATGTAATTCATTGCTGAGACAGACTACTTACTTTGAGATAATCCATTATAATCTCAGTAAAATCCAATCCAGTGCTTTGGTTGGGAACTTGACACATGTACGGCAGTCACTTAATTCCACTAAGCCAGTGCTTCTTACCTAGCTGCATGTAATCCTGTACTTCTCTATGAGAAGTATTAATGGCATTCACTGACATACTGTGCGTGATAAGTTCAATTTGAGGAGATATCTCTAATGACTATCACAGCATGATGATGCCAAATGCAGCTATGGGAGAAGCATTTCATTTAAAGCTTATCTATGAAAAGGATCTGATTGGCACAGTGTGTTCCCTATACTTCTCTATGAGAAACGTTGGATTAAAGTGGTTGCAGAAATGAGACTGTCCAAAGGCTGTCCTAAAGCTAGACTGTCAGGATACTTGCAATTGTTAATATCTCAAACACTGATCAAAATGAATCTGCCTACACCTGTTCAACAAATATCCAATTTAGAACTTAACATGAACTGACTATGAAAGTGGCATAGCTGTTTGAAAACCAAAATGGAAGTTTGGTACGTGTTGTACTCCTGCCAGCCAGAGTAATTATTCCTATAACACTTCCAGTAAGCTTGTTGCTGACGGGAATCTTAATTTTGTCTGGTAGGAGTATAATTATGGTACCATTATGTCAGATTAAATGCAACTTGCAGTACAGTACACAATTTCCCCAGTGAAAGCAGACATCTGATGGCAGCTTTTAAACATGTTTGCATATCCATTTTACAGGTGTAGCAATGATGCAAATAGTCAGCTGCCCGTATGTAAAGACAGTCACCACCACCAAAACCGGTAACTTTTTATACCATTTCTAGATGTTTTTTGTTTGACAGTTGGCATGGTGGCGAATGGTGTAGTTTTATTTGATTTTTTACTATTTTTTTTGGTATTCATTTTTTTTTTTTTTTTTTTTTTGCAGCCACATGTTCTTAGTTTAATCCTGATATCTTTGTTCCATAGCAGTTTTTTCTTTTTTGTGTGTAAATGTTCGTGACAATTAGATGGTAGACACTTTTCCTTAATGCTAGATTTTGTTCCCAAATTTCTTTTGAACCTACCTTTCCTGCATGCTAGTGTGTATGTGCTTGCATTGTGGTTCTAAGCATTGTTTAACTGCTTGATTTTCAGTTCCAGGATACCAAACAAACCTCCCATTTATTAGGGGGAATGTACTAGTAGGACATGACACACAAATGATTTGGAAAACACTACTTTTTTTTTTTTTTTTTTTCTCAAATTCTTTTATACATGTAAGTCTTTTAGTCTCATTCCTAAGAGAGTAAAATAGAGCCCAGACCATTCTTACACCTAAATTCGGTTTAAAATGAATGGCTTTCAACTTTTCAGACCAGTACTTGTTAAATCGGCTTTGTCACCCTCCCCGCCATCCCCAATTCTTATGAATACTTACATTTACTGTGTTGGAGTTTCACTGATATTCCAACGCAGTTAAGATTTGATAAAACAAACTAGGTACTACTTTTGTCTTGTGCATTTTTCCTAAATCTGAAAAAACTAGACAAAAAGCACAAATACCGCCATCAAGTTTTGTAATTTCCCCTATCACGAGTGACGGCTGCGAGATGGAAAAAAAAAATCATGTCTGTTAAAGCTCCCGTGGTCTCACATACATGAGAGTCCAGCACTGACATAGGGTCCTGGCAGATAAAGTGCCAGGAGCTGGACAGGGTCTACCGTATGGTGATGGCAGCTGCCCCCATGAAACTCTTCAGGTAAGTAAAACTTCCTTTCCTGTCCACCGCACCACTGAGGGCATAGTTATCATTGTGTGTCTTCAAAATATGCAATAACACCAGAAGGTGACAGAGCCTCTTTCATATTTTTCCCCCAAAAAGTCAAATGTTTGCAAGTAATTTTTTTTTAATTTTTTTTTTGTCTTACTTCCCCTCTCTATTAAACTTTATTCTTACTACGTTGGTAAATTCCTTCATGATGTGTTTTAAATTGTTTCTGAAAACGTTTCATACATTTACACTTCTTTATAAATATATGCCATTTTTTTCCTTTTCAGCCAATAAACTACTTCCTCCGGGTTTACCTTTAAAAACTATTTTTTTGCGAGTTATCCAGCACTTTATTCTTGAATCTTTAGAACCTTATATATTTAGTTTGAATTCAGTGTCATTTTGTTTCTATGCAAATTCCATTGGGTGGCACACTTTTAATTGTCCTGCACACACAGAGTGTGTAGTGTGGAGGCTGATTTTGTTCAGAGTAGTGATTAAGCATTTTCATGAAACTGATTTTACGTACAATGCAACTTTTTTGGTGCATGTTTATTAATAAAATGCACCTTTCTAATGCATTGGCATGCACTGTATTTCTAAAATGGTATTTCTATAAATATTTTCATCCAACGGATCAAATATAGAATTCTGCTCTGCATTGCTGTACTGCATGTTACCATAACCCATTTAAGCTAACTGAGACCCCTCATAAATCTTCTTAACATGTCTATAGGTGTCTTGCCTGGCATTGCTCCTCCGCTTGTACCAATGATTCATCCCCAAGTTGCTCTAGCTGCCTCTCCTGCAACCTTAGCAGGAGCAACGATAGTGTCTGAATGGTCAGAGTATAAAACAGCGGATGGCAAGACATATTATTACAATAACAGAACCTTGGAATCTACATGGGAAAAGCCTCAGGAACTAAAAGAAAAGGGTATGTTTTTTTGGGGGGGAAGTTTCTAATTTGTTTAGTTGTATTCCATTTATTTTTTTGTTTTTTAAATTCAACAAACTTAATGAAGAAACAAAAAGCCACAGTATTCTAATCAGTCACAAACATCTCACAGAGGTCTAGATTTAATTTGATTGGATAAGCTTTTCAAACATCTTAATATTTATGTATAAACTTTTAAAATTATTATTATTTTTTTTTAAAGAAAATGGTAGATCCCTAGATGCTTTAGCTCTACAATTCCAATGATGCTTTGCATGTCTTTAGAATGACAGAATATATTGGAAGCTGTTGTTTTAAAATCTGATTATAGTCAGTGTGCAAGGACAAGTGAAGACAAAAAAATATATATATATATACACACAAGACTTAAAAAATAAATAAAACTGAGTTCCTGTGCTACTATCCAGTCCTTAATAGGTACTCGCCACTGCAAATCATAGTATGCTCAGCATAAGTGAACTTCTTCACGCCAGGGCTAAGGTTTCCCTTGCCATTAGCTACAAGACATGTGGTATATAATACACTTACACATATATAGTAGTAGAAATTTTAGCCATATTAGTCTAGTGATGTAGTGTGTTCCTAGTTGTATTTCAGTGAGTTTGAGAGTGGGTGGCTTGTTTTGGATGAGTGGATGTAAGTGGGTAGTTTTAGGTGAATGTTTGCTTAGTTTTGTAAGACGATTTGTTTTTTGTGTGTGTTTTAATGTGTTTTAGGGACATGCGTGGTAAGGGCACGTTTATACTTATTGAACTTTAGTCATCTTGCAAATGTTTTAATTTGCAGTAGAAAAAGAAGTTGAAAAGGTAAAGGAGCTAACTAAGCCAGAACCAGTTGTTGAGGAACCCCAGCCCATGGAATCAGAAGAAGAGGTGCCAAAAGACGAACCTCCCAAAGAGATAAAGGAGGTAAAAACCAGCAAACTAATAACATGGTATTGTCTTCTTTTAACGTTTTGTTTTTTATTTTTGGGAGGGTGGGAGGGGTTGAGGAGGAGGAGGTGGTGGTATGATTTAGTGTGCTGGATGTCAGTCGTAATCAGAGCTAATGTTTAAGTGCAGCCATCTCTGCAATTGAATCATGAAGCTGCATTTATTTCTTTTGTACTAAGATTGGTCACTCTTGGCACAGTGAATAGGAGTATCCCGCAGCTTGGGTACTCAGAATTTGATCATCTACGCCATCATAGTTTAATTTAATTTTACTCTTTACACCCCAATGTTATCAAGGCTTATTTTACCTGATGCCAGAGGTAAAGAGGGGAAACTATTGCTAGTCTATTCTCATATTTGCATGTTATGGTCAATGACCATGGTTTGGAAATCATAACAGGCAGCTCCAATTTATAAAATGCAAAAGAATAATAAGCGCTCTCTTCTCAGGGGTGAGCAGCAGTTCACCAACAAGGTGTTCCTCTACCTTGTGATAAATGGACAGATAAAATAGAAAGGTGAACAGCGCTAAAAATCAGAAAATGTACATACGTTTTGTAGAAATACTGGCCAGCAGAGTAGCTTAAAAAAAAGAGAAACCAAAATACAAATAATGGTACAGTATGTATGAACGATATAATTCCACAAGAACAAAGGTGTTATATTCTCATTTACACTTTGAGGAGCTATATCAGCTCGGTGTTAAGAGCCTGGACGGAATAATCCCCGTCTATGGATTTCTTGAGGTTCAAGACCGTTGGTGAATTTATAGGTGTAAATATTCGTTACATGAAAAACAAGAGTAAAATACACCACATGGTATAGTACGTAAATATAAAATATTGTGAAAAAAAAGTGGATGATCCTACTTACATATACTAGAGCAACGACCTGCTCTAGTTTGGAGAATTTCAGGTGGAATAATCCCCACCTTGGGATATCGTGGACCCAGGTATAGCAGCAAAGCAGTATTGGATAGGAAGGAGGACAAAAGGAGTGACTGGATAGTTTAAAAAATATATATACTTTAATACAATAAGTGAAAAGTGAATAATAAACTATAAAACCAGTCCTGTATAAAAGTCCAAAATTCTTCCTCACTTGACGCGTTTCGCCGAAGCTTTTGAGATTATTCCGTCCAGGCTCTTAACACCGAGCTGATATAGCTCCTCAAAGTGTGAGTGTGAATATAACACCTTTGTTCTTGTGGAATTATATCGTTCATACATACTGTACCATTATTTGTATTTTGGTTTCTCTTTTTTTTAAGCTACTCTGCTGGCCAGTATTTCTACAAAACGTATGTACATTTTCTGATTTTTAGCGCTGTTCAACTTTCTATTTTACAGCTCCAATTTATAACATTGGGGATACTTCACGTAGCAGCTAGCCTTTTATGTGAAAGCCTTCTGATATATACTAACAAGCATTGTAAATATATATGCATGCCAGCTTTTAAGCTTCTTCAGATCTAGTTGTGTGTGCATATTCAAAACTTACTGTTGCATCATTTACATATCTCTGGTAGAAAAAGTGGTACCATTTCAACCTTGAGCACAGATTCCTGTGAGAAAGGAAAATCAGAAACTTTTTTTGTGTGGCTATTTTACATGTGCCTAGTGTAAGTACTAATAAAGAATTTCTATTTTACACCTGGTGAACGCTGTCGTAGCTTGCTTTCGTTAATCCGATTTGAGGACAGCAATTCCAGGAATTTGTTTCCACAATTTTCACAGAATTCCAGATCGACATGTAACTCTTCCATACTTTATTTTGTGTTTCTGCAGGCACCTTTAGCAGTGGAGCACTGTTTTAAACACCGCTTTTTAAAACAAAGCATGTTTTTTTTTTTTTCTCCAAAATGATCAATGATCCCTGGGTCCCTCAGTAAATTTAGAATTAGTTTGAAACAGTGGGGAGATTTAGTGTTTTCTCCACATATTATTTAGTGTAAGTATCTATATAAAAACGCACTTTATTCTAGTATTCAACATAGTGCCTGCGTTTTCTGTCAGAACTACATCACAACCTGCTTTTTCTCACAATGAGCATTGACTACCTAACCTACTTTAGTATGTCACATAGGGAACTAGAAGTGCAATCTCTGAAACTTTAAGTGAAATATCTCTCTATCTTTGCTTGCAGTTCGGTTAGTACATTGTTGGGGTGTTTGACAGACCTCTTGTATTACTATAAGACCATCTGTAATCACTGTACCTTAGTTGCCCAGTGGGAAGAAAATATTGCTGCTTTTCAACTATATGTGAACTATTTTTTTCCTTTTGTTGTTTTAAGCAGATTATAAATAAAATGAAACGGGTACTCTAAGCACCAGTACAACTTAAGTTTAAGTGGTTTTGGTGTATAGATTATTCCCATGTAGTTTTATTGGTCAATTTTCTGCCATTTTGTTAAATTACTTTGTTAATGCAGCTCTAGCCACACCTCCACTCAGATTCACACAGCCTCCCTACACACTGCTCTATATGTAGTGTGTAGAAATTCAATTTCAGTGTTCAATATACTAATTTCCTGCTGTCAAATATTTTTTTTATTTATTTATTCCCTGCTCACAAGCATGAGTGGGTCGAAGTGGACATGAAAAATAAACAGACATTGCAGTACAATCTTGGCATACATAGTATATTGTGTTCTGTTGTGCGTGGGCTTTGCTTGAGAGTAGGGTTTTTGTTGTTGTTTTTTTGGGGGGGGGTTTGTGTCTTGGTCTATTTTGAGTGGTGATACATGGAGTCAGATCAGTGAAGTTCTATTGTGTGCTTGTCGTTAAGCGCTTGGGCTACTATAAAGAATGTTGGGTAGTAAAGGTTCTTCGCTTGATGTCCCCTGCTCACGGATGTATGTTTAGGTTGCGTCATAGTTGGTCCCTAAGCTATGGTTGTGGCTATATAGGTAGCCTGGTGTACTCTTAGGCTCTGTGTAATGTCATAATGCATCCGTGTTCCCTGTTTGTCCTGGTGTTGGCTTCCCTTGTCTTGGAGGTGTTGGGGGAGTGTAAGGAGGGAGGGAAACTCCTGGTGGGTGCTGAGTGAACTTCAAATTGCAGGTGTAAGCGTAGTGCATGGAGTGGTGGCTGGTGGGCCGAGAGTCTCGAAATATGTGGCATTGCTTGTACTCGGGTGGGTCAAGTGGGTTCAGCGTCAAATGAGGGCAGGTATGAGTTCGGTGGCTGACTGATACACGCGGTTGCTGACCAATAGATTTAGGAAAGAAAAAAAATGAAGCACTTCAAACATCAGCTGGTGTAATGTCCTTTCTAGGAGAGGAAGTGTCTCGGTACGGGTGTTTGGCCTTCACGTGGTGACAGCCGCGTACGCTGTTTTCCCTGCTCCCTGTGGGATGAAGAGAACGATCCTCGCTGGGTCCCATCTTGGTTTAGCTGCGGGTGGTACTGGTGCGGCAACGGACTGCAACCCGTCCGGTGGCAGTCTGAGGGGGCGCAGGAGGGCGGTTGCTTCTCGGAGGTCCTAGATAGAGTGGACCTGGTTGTCATGCTTTAATTTTCAATAATATGTAACTTACTTTAAAATGTTTTACCTCTTGCTTTAAAATTGAACTCTAATTACACACAGGAAACTCCTGCCGGGTCCAGCAAACTATTAACAGAGCAGGAGATAAGAAATTCTAAATTAAACAGAATTTGTAATAAAGGAAGTATAAACATAGATGACTCTCTTTACAGGAAGTGTAAGTCACGTGTAGGGAGGTGTGACTAAGATTGCATAAACAAAGTGATTTAACTCCTAAATGGCAGATAATTGAGCAGTGATACTGTAGGGGCATGATCAATACACCACAACTACTTCATTAGGCTAAAGTTGTTTTGGTGACTATAGTGTCTGTTTAAAACTTTAGTTATGCTTTCAAGTTATAATATTATGTACTCCTTATTCTTTTGGCCTTGTAAAGTTTGGTCCCTTTTAGTCTAATGCAGTTATTCCCACATTTTAATAGTGCCATTGGCTTAAGCATAAGACCATGGGACTAGAATCAAGACTAATGATGTGACTGTCCCCCTAAATCTCTAGAAGGTAACACTGGGTTCTCATAACATAACCACTGTTTTGATGTCATGTGTTTTTACTGAAATGTAAATTTGCATATCTAAACTTCACTGCTGTGTTTTGCAGGAACCAAAAGAAGAGGAGATGACGGAGGAAGAAAAGGCTGCTCAAAAAGCCCGGCCTGTAGCTACGACCCCCATTCCTGGCACTCCATGGTACTTATGATCCCAAAGCCTGTTTTCTTGCCAATGTTTGCAGGGACTTTTGTGTTAGTCCTGGATTTTGCATCTTCTACAGGCAAGAGCTTTAACTTTCATACCATATTTGCTTTTGTTTGGTAAGGAGCTTGTTATGTGCTGGGCTATAACCCCTTTTCTCACAAATGAGGAATCCTTCATGGCCTTTAGGGAGTAAGTATACATGTCATTTATTACCAGTGGAATGTCCATAAACCTTAAACCTGTTCTACTTGGTGAAATAAACTACACAAATATATTGGCTGTTAAGGCAGCAAAGGCATTCAACCAGTACCCGTTTCTTTTTACATCACTTGACTGAAAGACTAGAATTAATGTCTCATTAAATATGAATGAATGAGCTCACCTTTGACATAGTTAAAAATCATTTTTATGCTATGTTTGGATATTTACAAGTTAAAATAACCATGGTTGTATTAACTCACTCATTTCATCCAGCAGAGTAGATGGAATATCACCTTTTAATAGTTAAATAAAGTGAGGTGGAAAAGTTATGGTTTTAATCTGTTTTTGATTGAACAATCACGATTCAGTTTCTTTTTTTTTTTCTTCAATTACTGACAATTTTGGAAAGGGGACACATGGTTTTCTGAATGTTTTAGTGATGTTAAACACGGTGGTTTCTTATTGTGTGCACTGATTGGTTCATGCTCCTACAGTCTCTCTGAGACTATGGATGTAATAATTGCTTTTCCATTTTTAGGTGTGTTGTATGGACTGGAGATGAGCGTGTGTTTTTCTACAATCCTACTACACGTCTATCAATGTGGGATAGACCAGAAGACCTGATTGGTAGAGCTGATGTGGACAAGATCATCCAGGAACCTCCACATAAAAGGGGACTGGAAGATGGCAAGAAATATTGTGAGTTTGAAAAGAAAAGTTAAAACATTAGTTACTGGATTCATAATCAAACCTGTTCTAAAGTCTCTAGTTCTCTCATGAGTTAATGAAATTATAAGTTAAATGGGTACTCTAAACCATGCTCCATAAGGACAACAATGATCTGTATTGGTTGTGGTGCACTGTTCTTCCTCCTTATGACTTCCTGCCCAAAAAGTACGTTACTAGAGAAAAGGATTTGGGTAACATAAACAAATATAATGAACATGTTACTTGTGGAAACGTTATAATCTATAGTGTACAGTTTAAAGTTGTTTTTTTTTTTCATCAATATAAAATATTAAGTACCCCAAGGATCCTATATATATCCTGTATTTGTGTGAAGGGTTGCAGATACACAGGGCTCCTCTGCCTCTGAGCCGATACTGCCTGGTTCAGCCCACCCACATTTTTCCCTTTGTGTCCAGCCACCCAAAGGTGTACCCAGGACACGTCGGCTACCTGTAGGTGTCACTGTTTACTTGGAATTACCTTTCCCAGTTTTCATCTGACTCCTGTCACCCCTTAGTATGGGTCCTTGAAGCCTTTTTTACTGGAAAGTGATAGTATCTTCTTTTGGAAAAATAGCTTTGCAGGTCTATATTTGGATATTTGGGCTTTGGAACTGGTTACGTCAGGAGAAATTTCATTGTTTCCCAACAACTCTTACTTGGCCATCTACAGACAGTTTTGGGGATTTGATTAACCCCTTAAGGACCAAGCTTCTGGAATAAAAGGGAATCATGACATGTCACACGTCATGTGTCCTTAAGGGGTTAGAGTTATATCAATGTTCTAGATACTCTTTATTATGTATTAAATAAAGCACATTTTTATTTGAGATGAATAATTAGTATCCTTCTTCACAGTGAAATATCTGATTTGTCTCAGCATGTGAATGGGAATTAATCATAAGAACTCATCTAAATGTTTGCCTATAGTTTTGCGTTAAATTTTTACATCTTTGAAGTCAAGATAGCACACAGTAAATGTTTCATTCTTTTCTCTATAACTCCATGATAAGACATTATGCAATCTTAATTATTTATTCTCGCAAACAGTTGATGGATATGCCATACTTGGTAACCATGTAAATTATAATCTAGGTGTCCAATGACTTGTAATGAAAGCCCTGGTGCAGTCAGTATTTGTTGTCTAAAAAACATCACTCTCTAAAATCACTACAGATCTTGAAACTTTTGTTAAGATTCCAAACTCATTTTAACTTTATTTTTTGTCCCTTAAGTCAGTACAGGTTAATGATACTCTGTTTACAGAGAATAGTAACAACCTTGCTCCAGGATGTCTTTTCCATGTATATATATATTTGTTCTATTTCTTAATTAACATTGTCCTTCTCTGACTCCCTAGGGGTTATTTAATGAGTGGTGATTGTGTTTCAATATTTAATTAGTGTATAAAGAATTATAACTCTTTTTTTTTTTTTTTTTTTCTGTTACTCTTGTGGCCGTATTTAATCTAATTTTAAATGGCATACTAGGATTGAAATTGAACATGAAGTGACATGATATATATTCAGTGCATACATTTTTTTTTCACGTTTATTTTAATTTTCCTTATTTTCTCAGTCAAAGAAGATCCTGAATCTCCAGAAGACCCCAACGATGATGAGCCAATAAAAGCAAAAAAGAGAAAGTAAGTTCTCTAACAGCCAAAGCAATAAATACTAGTCGTGTAAGCTAGAACATAAACAGGGACACACATTGGACGAGTGTTTGGGACATGTGTCTAAGGCTTCTCTGGGCAAAAATTCTAAATATGGTAAAACTAGAAAAATCCAGTTGTGAATTTGCTTTCAGAATTGCTTGTTCTACATAAAACGCTTGGTCAGCAGTAGAAGTGTGTATACAGGCAAAAAATCCTCCAGAAACCTGTATTCCTATCAATGGCATAACCATATATTTGCAGCAGTGCACAATGGCATAATGGGGGTTTGCACTCGAATTTAACATTCATGTGTGCATTAATCTCCTATGGATGGTCTACAAGTACAGAATATAATCTCAATTATTGTTTGGGTTTCTTTTTTTTTTTTTGACAATCATTATTGAAATAAGACTTTTCATATACTTCTAAAATAAAATGATAAAATTTACAATACCAGGAAACACTTTAAGGCAGCTCGTGTGGATTTTCTTGACATTTTCACATTGTCGAGCGGCTAGTCTGAGTAGTCATAACTCATTAGAATTGAGTAACTGAACACAGTATATATCATAAAGCGTGTAAATTCTAAAAATGAATATGCAACACCATGAAACCTTGTGGAACTATTCATTTGATCTAAAATTCAGGGACAGTTACGTCAGGTGGTCTAATAGAGTAAAATTACAAGAGAAGAATAAAGGAAAGTAGGGGGATGGGAGGGCCAGGGTTTCAGACACCTTCTCCAGGAACCAGTCCAATAAATCAGGGTCTTAGACATAATTTCGAGCCAAGGCCCCCACTCTAGAACACACTTTTTAGATCTTCTTTCAAGACTCAATCTACTAATGTTGTCCACCCTGGCCTGCCACTGCTAGAGTGTAGGCACCACTTGTTTCCAGTAAATTGGAATTGAGTGCCTTTATGTAATTTAATAGGTGTCTAGTAATACTCTTTTTGTATTTAGAAAGGGAGACTGGCGTATGAGCACATACTCTCTGGTGTAAACAGAGTTGATTCTCCAGTAACTTTAGTCCGTTCCTCTTGGATCTTTTCCCAGTAGGGAGCTATCAATGGGAATTTTGGGGCGAACTTGTAAATCTATTCAGGAGTTTGGTGTCATCTGGAGATTAGCTTAAAGCTTGTTTCTTGGTTTTTATAGTCTAACAATGACTAATAGGCCAGAAAGGGAACATTGTCTCCTGCTTCCCAGAGAAATATTTCCTTAATTTCTCCTCCTACATAGCCGTGAACCATAAGGCAGTATTCTAAGCCAGTTGGGTCCCTATGAAGTTTATGTTTTGGGGACAATGAATTTTGAAAGGTGTTGCAACTGATGAAATCTAAAGCAAGCAAGGATGACTCCCATCATCAAGAGTCTGGAACAACGTCAGAACTTCTACTAAGCACACGTCTTGGAATCTGGGTTCCTCCCCTCCCAATTCACTAATAGTAATCCATGTTCAGCTTTTCATGGTTATGTACTAAGGGCAATAAGGGGCCAGGCGTAGTGGTAAGTCCTGGTCTGTTACATCACTGGTGACTTCCAAATCTTCCAAAACCGATTTAATTTAGCTTTAAATGTGTCTTGAGAGAGAGAGAGGGAATGCAATGCTGGGATACAACAGTAAGTGGTCATACTTCATAGCTGTCCTTATTCTGGCAGAAGTCAATTGTCAGCACCTCCTGGATAGTCAAAATAAATTCTGTCCTGTAATAGAACTTGTTCTAATAGGACTAAATGAACGAAAAGCCCTGACCACAGAATACCAGATTTAAAACTTAACCTTTTATTATGTATATATGTTAAGAGTGGAGGAATAGATGCATGATAAACAGCATATAGATCAATTAGTGAATCTCTGCCAAGAGTCTAGTGAGTGAAAGGAACTCTGGACAGAGAAATATATAGAAAATAAACAGATTAAGATCCTGTGCACCACAAAGTGTTGATAAATGAGGGGGGAAAAAAATAATAAAAACCAAAAAGATTTTAACCAAATAAAGTATGTACACTGGTGTCAGAATGCAATTCTAATCGTAGGTGAGACAGAGTCCCAGTAACCAAATCGTATAGACTTAATCAAAGTGCAGCTGTGGCTCTGAATCACCAAATAATACTATTGTTCTAAGAGGAGATATATGTATAGTCCATGCCCCCTGGGTACGCCAGCAGTCAGCCAGCCCAGCCTCTCACAGGAGCGACAAATCTTGGGCTCAAGGTGGGACAGGTAGCTTCTTAGCTCTCTGGATGTATCTAGCTGGGGTTCAAGTGGAACACTAATGTTCCCCTCTAAAACATCCCTTTCCAACCGGGAGAGGACTGACTCGAGGAACCTGTCCTGGTTCGAATTGGGGGAGTAAACAAAGCCAATAGTATATATTTAAGAGGCCAGGGTGCCTTTAAGAAAAAAGAATGTCTCCCTCGTCCACTATTGAAGCGGAGAACTCAGACTGGGTATATTTAGAAAACAGTATTGATACTCCACCTGTTTTTGATAGAGGATAGTTTGTATAATAATCTCTAGTTGCCTTGTACTAATCTAGGGGCCACGTTTGCACAGAAATTTGTTCCCTGCGATATAGCTCTTTTAGTAGTCAAAATCTGCATTCTGGCTCTCGCACATTATGTGAGCAGAAGACCAATGGGGTCAGTTTGTAATTTCCTGAAGGGGTTATGATCAGTAGTTCGAAATAGGTTAAGAATGGGGAAGAAAGAAAAAAAAAAAAAACACAAAAAAAAGCCTCACAGAGTACCAAGTGAGCCAAAAAAGTGTCTTTTAAGGTTAATTCTCCAATGGTTCGGCTGAAGGTGGGCGTGAAATTTACCCTCCCCCTCCACTCTGTCCGCCAATCTAAGGAGCACGCCCACAAGCTGCCCCCACCACTAGTGATGTAGACATGAGGGATGATACTGGGTCGTGATAGGTGAATTGCGAAAAGGAGAGACTGGGTCCCCTTTTTAAAATCGGAGATGCTTCATTCCATATGTTTCCCCACTGGCGAAGGTGCTATTAGAGCACCGAAACGCGCGTCGGTTTTTCTGATTTTATTTTCATTTAGCACTATGCACTAAATTTTTACGATTCACACTTTTATTTTGGTGGCTGTGGGGATTGAAAAGGGTTGCTGAGGGACCTTCTCTCTTGGCTTGTGTATCTTACTAAGGGAACTATAAGTGAGAATTTTCGGTGCCTTTGAAGGTGCAATCAGATGTAGCAGTGGGGGCTTTTCATTGAATGGGCATCAGATCACATATCCTTAGAGGCCTTCATGAATTTCCACCTCATTTACCTCGGAATAGTGATTTCCCACACTTTTTCCCAATGTAATTAATATAGTTTACTACTTTATATTGTACCCTATTTAGCATCCCCAGTTAGGGTGTCTGGTTTTTGGCAAAATAACTGTTTAGTGGATCTCCCGCTTAAGGCTTTTTCCTATTAGAGACTAGATCCTACATCATTATTAAGAGAGAGCATTATCCTTATACTAGGATCAATAGTGTGGGAATATTGTCTCTTTGCATACACAGAGACTTGATGGATCCTTTGTAACTATCACAGCCACTCTGATTTTATTAGCTAACAGGAACACTCTTCTGTTTCAGTTTCTTTTTGGCGTAACTATGAATAAAATGTATAAACCACTGACTTTGTAACTGAAGCAGGATTTTCCTGTTGCTATATTGTTTGCATTTCCCCACATCGAACTGCTGTCAGAACATTAAAGGGTTGTCCAAAATTCCATCTAAATACCAAATTGGAGATCTCCCTTATAGGGATTTATCTAAAACTTTATTTGAATTTAGTTTGAAAAGGGTTAATCTCAAGGTGGACTTGGTACCACCTGTACTGACTACCCCTTTCCAGAAAACGGTTGACCATTGACTTTTTAAATTCTCCAACACCATGGGAAAAATGGAGGTTAAAAAAAAAAAAAAACTAATTGGAGGTAGGAAGTGAAGACCTCAGGTACTCGGGTCCTGGGGAGAAAAGGTAACTGCCGCTGATCCAGACATGCCAAAGACAAGATTTAAGACTTCAATGACCGTAATTAGATTGGAGTAAAAAACCCTCAATAGCCCTTGGTTAAGCCCTAAGAAAAAGTACAGTGATTACTTTGTTTTATTGTAAATTACAATGCAGACAAGTAAACAAATAATTATTTATAAAACTAACTGATAAAGAAATATTACACCCCCACCTGCTCCCCTGCAGAAACTACTCCCTACTAACCTCTCCATATATTGGTTCAAATCAAACCTGGATATAAGTCCACTTCTTCCTGGCATTGGTGCTGTCTAGGGGATTATTAACTTGTAGTCCTTCAGAATTAGTTGGTGTTTACCCCAGTAAGTACAATAAGGAAAACAATATAGTATAGAACAGACCTTCAAGTAAATTGCTTTGTTAGTATACCTCCGACTTCCTCAACCCCTCATTCCCCAACATAGGGGTTCATTCTTCTGGAACTGGTGGGTTGAGGTGAGGAAGTTGATTTGGCACATCTGCTCCATTCACTTTTAGGGGGGCTTCGAGGCACTGGGGCAGGTTAATTGTGTCAATGCAGCCATCATAATTTGATCTTTTGAGGTGAAAAGAATGTATAGAGCAAATAATGTCCCTGTGGAATCCGTCATCTCTAGAAGGACTAAGTGCCTTGTCCATAGCAATCAAGACTGGCATATTATTACCCAGAATCTGGCTATACTGGGCCTCTAGAGCAATAGGGAGTGGCTATCCTATGTGCACGTCCAGGAGCCGCCTAATGCAGATAATATTTCTTTGACCACCATTGTCAAGGTCCTCTAATTGCCTTCAGAACTCAAGTAACATAGCACCGTGTATTGTAAAGACTGTCTGCTGTTGCTTCCACTAGCTGTACACGAATCATGAGGCTGTCTAAATCAGCTTGTAATTTCTGTATTTAAGGCCAAAGGGCCTTTGATTTCTGCCAACAGCAAAGCGGTATTTTCCCTCTTAAGCAGTGTCTGAAATGGCTTTTAGTTCCCTCCAGAAAGCAAAAGCTCCATGCTAGGCGGCTGCGTTTCCTGTGAGGAAAGTCAGTAGATATGATGTCCTCTCAACGCAGTCATCTCAGATCAGATGGTTTGCTAAATAGTCAATGGGGCCCGACTCAGACCTGTCCACCTAGACTTTCCCATAGCTCCTGCCACACCAAGCGAAAGAGGCAATATAGGGCTAACTTTACAGAGCTCAAGTTCTATGCATACGTCTTGGTCTTCTGGCAAGCCACACCCCCTAATCTCAATTACATCTATTGGTGAACTTAACGGTCAGTCATTGGACTGTGCCCTTTAATTGGCTGTCTGAAAATGTTGTACACAAACCACAAAATATTGAGGTGTGTGTGTGTGTGTGTGTGAGACAGACCATTAAGTATGTAATTCCTTGAAGACCTCATCAAATTATGGTCAGAGGAGGGTAGACTGTAGAAGACTGTCATCCTGCAGAAACTCTGCAAAAACAAGTACTCAAGAACACAGACATGGTTATTTTTTAAAACTGCGCCTTTCCTTACACTATGATTTTTGTAATGTCTATTTTGTCATGTAAGCAGTTTAACAAAAAATCATTTTTTCCATTAATATTAAATCATTGACTCGGAATTTTGTTTTTCAGGGGGGGAAAAAGCATGTCAAAATGTACACATAATTAATTTTGTATATATATATATTTTTTTTTATTTATTTATTTATTTTTTTTACAGGAAAGATGACCCAGAATCTGAAAAAGAGACCGCCATGGAAGCTGAAATTAAAGCTGCTCGTGAACGAGCCATTGTTCCTTTGGATTCTCGCATGAAACAGTTTAGAGATATGTTGCTGGAGAGAGGGGTTAGAAAATCATCTTTTGAGATGTATATAAATCTTTTCTGATTTTTACACACACGAGTCACTAAATCCTGCACTACTCAGTCACAACAGGGTTTTTATTTCATGGTAACAGGTTATGGTGAACAGGTATCAGTTTCCTGAAAAATCAAAAGGCACTACATATTATTATATGGAGATATGGAGATCCAATTTGCTTTCTTCCTTCTTGAACCTTGTAAATGTACTAAGTTCTTTTAGTTAGGAAGTAAAAATCCAATAAGCAAGCTGTCAAATTGAGATTTTCGCATAGTAGCTCATTCAACTTCGAGACCAACATCTTCCAGGTCTAATTTTATTTTCATTGTACATGCGAGGGCAAGCCCTAATGCAGTCAAATTAATGTTTGTTTTTATTATTATTTATAAAGAGACAACACATTTTGCACCGCTGTACATTGGGTGATCTGCTTTAAATTAGTTTATAGATTTAACTTTTAAATGCTGTATGAGCCACCCAATTACATAAATCACAGTCAGTAAGTCATGAGGTCACTTACAAAATCCCAGAATTACCTATAGTGTAAAATAGTGGGGGTTATTTAACCTGTTTTGTCATAGCCTAAAGCTGATCCCCAAGTGCTGTTTCAGTTGTTTGCCATTGGTTGAAACAGGCACATCATATTTACCTAGCTAGAGACACCACTAGTTTAAAATGTAAGTCTTCTTTTTTCTAAAATCGGTGAAAAGGGCAAAATTGGAAAAAAGTATTTCCAACTTTTATTTTTGCCTTGATGTGCGCTAAAGCAGTCTCTTATTTTAGTGAATAAACCTCAAGTCAGGCATTTCTCAAACTGTTAAAGAAACACTTCCACTCCTATTACAATTTAATCTCAAGTTGTTGTGGGGATAGGGCCATTTGGCCGTGGATTACCTCAGAATTTTTAGACTCTGGTATTTCTGCCTTCTTGCTTTTGTTCCTCTCTGCAGTAATGTAGGATGAAGGTTTATCAAGTTTGTTGATAGGCGAAGATTGTCAGCTGACATTCTCAGCCTGTCAATGGATGCTGATTGAGAAATATAGCACATCCTATTTTTCTCCAAGGGTGCCTATTGATAGGCTGAGAACCTCTTCTAAGCTTTTCAGCCTATCAGCGGACATCAGGAGGCAGAATCGCCAAACGCGAGAGCCCACTCAGTAAACCCAAGGGTAAAAACGTTGCTTTAACTTGTTTAAATTGTTGTAACTCAGACGCCCCCACTCCGGCTCCCATAAATAAGCTTAAGTTGTTCTGTTAAGCTATTGCTAATTCAAACAGTGAGCAGATCGGGTTCAAAACAAGTTTTTCACTTTTTGGCCACACTACCCATTTACCATCTAACCCATAAATCCTTCCACATCGGATAGTGTCTTCCTGTGGATCAAAGAGAATGCCTGGCATGAAAGTGCATATTTAAAGAGGAACTGTAATCTTTGCTGGTTTTGCACAACTCGGTGTAGACAAGTTAGCCATTGTTTGTTGTTTACATTCAAGACAGCCTGGCATACCTTGGATTGAAAACCCATGGTATCATTGGAAGATTGCCAGATGCTTGAGCATAATATTGCCTTAGGGAAAGAAACCAATTCTATAGTTCTGAATTGTGCTTTATGTTTGCCTCTGCTATACTCCACTACTGGACTGAGTAGTAACAAAATACTTCAAAGAAAACAGTTCCTCTTTAAGGCATTCTTCAACTTTATAGGAACCAATGTATTTTTCTGCAGTTATACATGCTGATTTAGTGATTGTGTAGACAACCTTGTTGCCATGCAAATTGTACCTCAAACCGTGTTTTTGTTTTGTTTATTCTTTCAGTGCTTTATCAGAGTTTAAAAGTTTAGGGTTGGAGAGTTGACAATAACATTTTTTGTAAAATATGATGGTCATTCTTAATTACTTCTGATGGTTATTCTTACATAAAAAGCTGGTTATCATACACCAATTATATTATGTGTAAACCAACAAACTAAAAGCTCTGTCCAAATATGATCCTTTAAATCTTTTACTTTTTTGGTTTTGGGTCCCTTGTTGGTAGATGATTAACTGATTTTATGTTATTATACACATTTTGACATATGTTTCTAGTGCAAATGTAGCTTTAGTTTCCACCCTGAAGTGACATGTAATGAATCGTTTTGAGTTTAGACTTTTGTGTAGTAATGAAGGGGTTATGAATACGAAACCCTCTCAAGGCACATCACTTAAACTTCAATGATTTTCTCTGATGTGGCTTCTAAATGTCGCTCAGTAGTGGCTATTTTAATGAGTTATTAGTTGTGTGTTGCCTGTGTGTAATTATGGGGGGGCTGTTCTGAACCAATTAGTGTGAAAAATTTACCATTCTAACCTCCCACTGCTCGTCATTTATTAATGATGAAAACTTCAGTGTCTGTTATGTCCTGCATTATACAGACATCCTGTAGTTCTGTATAGTATCAATTCCTAATGTTTAATTGCCATAGAAATCAAATACTAATTCTCTGCATTTGTTTTTCTGTTTGTTTGTTTTTTCACACTATAAAGGTTTCAGCTTTTTCAACTTGGGAAAAAGAACTGCACAAGACTGTTTTTGACCCACGTTATTTACTCCTAAATCCAAAGGAAAGGAAACAGGTAAGCAATATACTTTGTTTTTTATTTTATTTTTTATCTTCATCTAGCTTTTTCCTGTGAAACAATATTCTACATTTTACATTAGTCCAATGGCAAAAAAAACCCCACTATATATATATATATATATATATATATATATATATATATATATATATATATATATATATATATATATATATATATATATGTATATATATATATATATATATATGTATATATATATATATATATGTTTTTTTTTTTATATATATTCCTTTTTCATACATTTAACAGGGGAGGGGGAAGGGGGCAAATACTGATTCTTCTAGAAAGCAATCCATTTATATGTGGTGGTTTTCCAGGCCTGTGTGTATCTTATATTTAAGAATAATTCACTGATTTCTCTACCTAGAACCTTTTTGAGGATGTGATTTTTGATGTCGTGTCTGGGAACTAAAAAGTAACTAATTTGATTTCACCACTTGCACATTTGCATCTCTCTTCACCTTTATGAAGCAGTCATAGACATTAAATGTACCACAAAGGAAAAACATGACCCAAGATTTCATCGGTATTGCCTTAATTTAATACGTTTTGCTAAGCTTTCCAAGTAACATAATATTTTTGGATATACTTTTAGAGATTTCTTCAAAATATTAGAATATCAAAAAAAAAAATACCAAAAAGATAAAAATATTAAAGGATTAGTATAAATATTAGGTATTTTTTAAATGATTTTTTAAAAATATTAAATCGAGGCCTAAGTTGTAAGCACTCTCCCCATGCCATCGTTCTCTATAAATACCTGATCAGATACTTTTTTTTTTTTCCTTCTTCAATGGAAAAATCATGTTCAAAATGAATATTAATATATAAAAAAAAAAAGATCTTATTTTTAAATGATTATATTTTCCTCCTTAACCTGAATATCTGTCCCTCTATCACACTCCCATTATTAAAAATTTTTTTCATCATCCGTGGTGTGAAGAAATTCTGCCCAACTTGGAAAATGTGGCGAGCTCTGGAGCTCCCTTCTATGTCATGACATCATGCCTGTTGCGTTTGAACTGCCAATAGGCTGGAGTAGACTTACAGCACAGCTTGTTACAGAGTTTTATAATCTTATTTAAGAAGAAAATTGTGCTGTCACTGCTCTTTCTAACAATAACAAAAATAGGTATTGCAAGTGTATATGAAAATAAGGCTACACATTAATTGCACAAACGAAGGCTGAACATTTTGTGTTGGATATATAGTAATTACCATATGCAGCATGTCATGCATGTTCTCAGCCTGTTACACAAATACCGCCAAGAACACAAACACACAACTGTACACTGTTAACTGCTCACAACTCCTACTTGTAATCCAAAGGGTACCATACTAGACTAGCACACTCAGCTGACCCTACACAACTACTGCTCTGTAATTATTGAATACTCTGTTTTCTACTCCCTTAAAAGAATGACAGCTTGCTTCCATAGGAATCTGAACATTTATAAATTAACCTCGGATGTTAAACAGCTGGTTCATCTCATTGAGTTACATTAAGAAGTCTGATTGGACAGCCATGGAAAGTCTTGGCCGGGTTACAAGGGGAGTGCCTGCAAAGGCTGCAGAAGAGATCTATTTTTAGCTATAACCCCAATGACAAAAAATGTGAATTAAATGCATACATTTTTCATTAGGGTATACCTACTAAAAAGTGTGGTTTGGTTTTGTATTTAGTCTGTCCCTTTAATACTACACAAACCAAATAATTAGGGCCCTGTTGCTGTTAAAATGGAATCTGTTTTACCACATTTTGGTGTCCTGAAGAAGAAATTGTCACTAAGTCTAGTGTGCGTCTTCAGGGTTTTTTTTGTTTGGTTTTTTTCTTTGCTCGTAATGGCCTATACCTCCCAGAATGCTTTGCCAGCATGAAGTTGTGGCTGACGTGGTTCTGCAGGCTTTCAAGAGACCATTCTCTCACCCATCCTTTTCTATAAGTGTCACAGGTTCGTGAGTCTGTTGTGTTATTCATTTAATCCTCCACTAGTCCTAATTCCGGATTTGCTGAATATAGTGAAAGTATTCCGTTTGTGTAGCGTCTCCCCAATATATTGGACGCAACCAGTCATATTGCGTAAAAGCAGCAATTTGAACTTAATTAGGCCACACACTGCTTCTTATGCAGTGCCCCTAGCATGGGGTTTCTAATACAAAATCACAGGGGTTTCCTTCCCCCTAGCCATTGTGTTTGAGAGATAATTGAGCTCCAATTAAGCTAATCCAATTATCTCTCAAATAGGAAAACTTACAATTTTAACATATCACAAAAATACATGACAACAGCATCGGAACCCCACAAAAATATATTTTCGAATAGTCCCGATCTGAGCGCACAACATATCCAAAAAGCGCTCAGATCGGTTCGGTAAAACTAAAGTTATGTTCATGCATAAATGAACTGGCTGCCTTCTAGAGGTGGTATTGTCAATTTCAAAAGGGGTTAATTTGATTGTATGAGAGGTCAGAGCTTACAACCTAAATTCTTCTTTGAAGCTGGAACCCCAGCAGAGCTACTCTGTAAGGTGTGAGAAGTAACAAATAAGTGGCCTGGAAGTCTGGTTTCAGTTTATTCTAACTCTCATTTGCCATATGTCTTGATTCCCTCCTAGGTAAGGAGTCCTTTGATGTGAACAAGCCTTGTGTTCCAATATCACATCCAAAAGAGAAATCAACACCCATCCACAGATTAATCCTCAAGCCTCATTTTGATCATATTTAGAATGGGACAAGCACAATCTTCCAATCAAGCCTAAACATGATTTGTGAAAAAGGGGACCCCCATAGAATCTGTTCAGTAACCGAACAAAAGGGAACAATTCCATTTGAATACAAGGAAACATTAGACGATACAAAGTACAATTAAGGGAACACATACGAGGAGTCCCATCTCCCGTGACACTAAGCTCTTCAGTTTGATACCTATAATAGGGTTACTTAATTAGAATGAATGTATTTCTTTTCCTAAAATTAACAACAAAAAGTTGTTAGAGGGAAGATGGGGGGTATAAGGTGCCAGATTATGTCCTTCAATCATTTTAAAAATCATAAACATTCTCAATGAAATAATTATCATTTGTATGCCTGAACAATGTGTTTTGTATTCAGGCACACAGGTACATAACCTTTGTACCTCTGATCTAAATAACCTTCAGGACTTGTAATTTTCTTCACGTTTTAAGAGCTGCTAGTGTAATTATCAAGAAAAAAAAATTATTGCATGCATAACTAGGGCAATTGCTAAGGAAAGATTACTGTATCTAATTACACTTTCTGTTGCACCCTACGTATATATTTTTTCTTTAGAAGTTTCACAGTCATTGCTTATCTGTTGGCACAATTTTTTAATTAAACCAATTGATTTCGCTCTAGGTATTTGATCAGTATGTGAAAACGAGGGCAGAAGAGGAACGGAGGGAAAAGAAAAACAAGATTATGCAAGCGAAGGAGGACTTCAGAAAAATGATGGAGGAAGGGAAGATTAATCCAAGGTTTGCCTCCCACATTGTGCTGATTTTTTTTATATGTAAAGGATTTAATATTGAACTCGGGAGTCATATGTGCAAGAATGCATTTTAAAAAAAATACTAATTACTTAATGCCAGGTATGGCTCATCAGTGCCACACGGATGTAGTTATTCAACTTTAGGGACCATTTCTTTGCGCATATTCCATAAACTGCTACTGGTTTGCTAACTCCATATTGGAGTATCACTCTGTTGTAGGTAGTGTTGTAGTTTAGAACTGTTGTTTTACTCCATTTTATAGCTTTTCTACTTAACACAAATTTATAGGGAAGTTCAAGTGAAGCTGTAAATCATGTAACTGTGTTAAATATAAAGTGTAATTACTTCCACTATGAATGTGTGTTTTTGTTAAACGTTTATGATCGATAATTTTCAGTTATCCAAGTGACCTAGTTTGTCGCTGTCTTTTTAAATGTGTTTATTCCATTTCTGTGTCCCATGGAACATATTATGGAAGCAGTCAGTTACAAGACTGTAACGGAAGTGGATTTTGACATCTTGGTAGATTCAGATGAATTTGTGAGCAGTAGCGATATTTTTGTACTTTAAGATTCCGTAGGCTGCAATGCAAATTGGATCTGAAAGGTCATCTTATTGAGCCAAGGATGAACACAGAATAATTGCAAAGAGTTGGTGAGCGTGTTACTGATATGCAATTTATTTTACGTTTATTATTTTTTTTTTTTTTTATTATTCCTACAGAAATACTTTTAGTGAGTTTGCAGCCAAACATGCCAAAGATGCACGGTTCAAAGCCATTGAAAAAATGAAAGATCGGGAAATCTTGTTTAATGAATATATGGTTGCTGCAAGGAAGAAAGAAAAAGAGGATTCAAAGAACAAAGGTGACAAGGTATTGGAAAACATACCCTCATGGCTGCAGCGAGAATGTTAGTAGTTTTTATTCATTTATTTTCTCCAATATGGTGTTAGTAGTAAAGTTGTCTCCTCCACTCGACATCCTTAACTACCACAAACTAGGATACTTCCACGATTCCTCATTATGTTTGTACATCCCTCTTCTTTTGCAGTGTTATGGTGTGAAGTAAGGTATCATATTAATAAAAAATAACTAAGAATAAAAAAAGTCATAATTGCACAGGCAACTGAATATACATGCAATACACAGAGCTGCAGTGGTATCTCAAGTACACAAGTGGGAGTCGACATTTAACAGGAATTTAGTATTTGCCTTTATGCAAACTATCCTGTGTTACACAACACCTTCAAACAAGTGAATCAAAAACCTCTAAAATGCCCAGTGATCGTGAGCCGATCACTCGCTCCCTATTTAGAGAGGATTTCTAGATTTATTTTTTTTTCCATATCTTTATTTGAATACATATTTTTACCTTTTTTTTTTTTTCTTTTTTTAATTATTATTCCCCCTTCTTGTGGTACACATTATTCCTTGGGGAACAAGGAGATATAAACTGTTATGTCTGCAGTTTACTGGATTCTGTTTCTTATACTGTTAGTGTTTGTATGCCCACAAAATGTCTACATATATTTTCTAGAAAATTACCTAAATGTACAGGTGGAAAATATTTTAATTGCACTCACTTTATTTTAATTTATTTAATAGTACCAGATTCTATTGGCTTAGGCTTTTTTCACCTTTGAGGGTCTTTTCATATTTTCTCAGCAGAATCCACACTTTTTTGTCAACCTGATACCTTATATCGATTGACCGTGTTGGCATCTTGAAATTCCAATGCAGTCAACGAGTATTGCATAATGTATTAATATGATGAAATACTCAAAAGCAATCTTGCCATGTCAGAATTACTTGAACTTGCTATTATGCCCTTAAACATAATGGCATACAGAAATGTTATAAAATAGGATCCTCTCCAGTGAACATGCGTGGAAAGCATCTGATGAAAGTACGTTTTTGGAAACAGTGTAAGCAATTAGTGATGGTTGCCTTTTAGATCTGATGGCTTTCTTGTGAACATGGCCTTGAATTAGTGCCATAAAGGTACTCCCATGCTGATTCAGTGGCCATATCCAATCAAATATTCTTTTTGTAGGAAAGGTGTTGCATTTCAAACATTTTCATATCCTTCTTGTAGGCAAAATTTTAGTATGCTTTTCTCCCCTTATCTATCTGTAAACAAACCTGGTTTTAAATTACTGCTTATCTGTACTAAAGGTCAACATATTAAATATGAATGAACTGAAATGTCAGTGGGATGAGAAACCAGCAGTGAGTAACTTTGCTTACCACTGGAGAAGCTAAGAGAGAATATCTTTTACCCGTTTTCCTGAATAGCTTGCTTATTTACGTGCTCCAACAGAACAAAAGTGTTTTTTTTGTTTTTGTTTTTCAAACAATGTTTGAAAACACAGGAGTCCTTGTTTCTAAAATGCTGCTGCCCCTGATTATATAGAACTCTGAGAGCAGTACTTGACTAACTCCTATGTCTCTCGGCCGCTAAGCCACTAAAGCTTTACAGTGATGAAGTCCAGCCCATACTGTAAAGCAGGGACAAAAATTAAGTTTGTGTGTTTCCTTATCAGACACTTTATGCTGACAGTATGTACGTTGTGTTGATTTATTAGTAAAACGGCTGATTTTGCCCTCCTTCCATTTGTTACCCTTTGTTTCACACACACACTGTTTTCACATGCCTCTTGTGATTTCATTTCCTTGATGATATAAAAAGAGTGGTTCATCTCAGAGCCCTCTAAGACATAAGTGTATGTCACACATAACCAACCACTAATAATCCTTGCATATCTATACAGCAAGGAGCTCCTATTTTTTACAAATGCTTTCCTTATATTTAATTCAGCTGTAGATCTATATCCCCCTGCCCCCCTTTCATTTTTAAATGCACCCCCACCACGTACAAATATTGATCTATAACTCCTCCTGGAGATCACATTGAAGTTGCATGAACAGGTGTTTTTATAGCAGCCGGACCACATTGCAGATACTGATTTCAGTGGAAGGCTGGCAGCCGGACCACATTGCAGATCTTTATGGATATTCAGTGTCACAGTGCTTGGTTGAAAAATAGTGGGACTAAGATAATGCCAACGTTTTTGAAAACTGTGAGCAGTTACCATGCAGTTGAGCTGGGGCATTCCTTGCACCATAACCACTAAGGTTGATGTAGTGATTACGGTGGCAAGAATGCCTTGGTTCCCCCTACATTGTATGGAGCCAGTTTTTGTTTTGTTTGTATTCTTCTCTGGTACCAGCCAGGTGCTGCTTCCCTCAGAAAATGCCACTTGACCATTTTTCTCAGAGCAGTCATTTTAATTCCATTGATTTGGAAAGTGACACTTCCTTTTTTAAATTAATTTATTTCTGTTTGTGCGCTTTGTGGTTTGTTTTGTGTTTATTTTTTATTGCCCATAATTACATTGCATGTTGATACGATAAAGCTTCTTTGTCAGAATTTTGATTTACTTTTAAGTTTCGTAGACATGAGGTGGATGAGATGTCTTGCTGTAATTGACATCAGAAATGTCTGGATTCTGAATATTGTATGATAAATGGCTTGTGTGGCACTAAGGAATCATGGACATCAGATTCTATGCCAAGACCTCTGATTGATTAGCGGTTTGAAATTACAAGTCTGTAAATGATTGTAGCTTTATGCAGTCTTTGGCATTTTATGTTTTTTTTTGAACTAGCTACATCCTTTAAAACCATTTGTAAAACAGCAAATGTAAAATAAGTGCCTATATTTGAGCAAGCTGATTGGTGGAAAACATGTAGAGGGCAAAGGATACATTGCTGCTTTAATTAGTGACTTGGATTCATTAGGTATGACCTCCAATAGGTCATCCAGAAATGTATTTGATTTACAGAAAATAATTCCAAAAGCATCCATTTATTTATTTTTTGTTCCGTGGATCCTTGATTTAGTTATGTGTGTGGATTCTGAAATTTGTAGGAAATTTGTTACATGTTCCAGGTATGTGGAAGCTTAATAATAAGTTAGAAAATAGTTTGCATATGACTCCAGTATGGTTTGTCTAAAACACCGTATTTCAGTAGACTCCAATAGTGACTTTATAAGAACAGGCAATGGTTATTTTACCATTTATTCAGGTTGTGTTTAATAGTTTTGTCTTGTTTTTGGTTCTTTTACTTTGACACATTTTTCAGTCTTAGAAACAACTATTTGGTTCATATCTGCGTGTTTTTTCTGCTTGTCTTAAATCTAGGTCAGAATGGATTTTTTTGACTTGTTATCAAACCATCATTTGGATGGACAGTCTCGTTGGAGCAAACTAAAAGATAAAATAGAAAATGATTCCCGTTACAAAGCAGTAGAAAGCTCATCGGCAAGGGAAGAGCTATTTAAACAATATATTGAGAAGATAGTAAAGGTATGTTGTAACTTTTAGCTTCTAAATAGAAAATCCCATTGATCAAAGCCCATTAAACACCATGTTAATTCATTTTTTTGCTAAAGTACCTTTGTAATGAGTGGAGACTCGACACAGGTTAGTTGTTCACCCCCCTTCTACATCTCCTTATTGCATTCAGATTGCCTTTTCTTTTGGACTGCTTTAGAATATGAAATGCATGCACTATGTGGCTTGAATTTATACCCTTTTTTTTTTTTTAATATATATTTTTTTACTCCTCTTTTGCTGGCAAATACATTGTTCAATGTTAACATGCTCATTTCTTTAGATATGGAGATAACAGTCTGCGATTGATGTGTTCTTTGATTCTACGTTTCCGCCCTCCAACTTTAACATAGTTAGGGTATTGCAAAATAGTTATATTGAAGTTAGTGTCTTTTGCAAATTGCCCTTTTTATTAATTTAAAAAAGTTTTAGACTATTTTTGGTTCAGTTTTGGAATGTATTTTCATTGGTGTATGTAAAGTGAATCAATGCAATGTGATAAATATCAACTTTATACTTGATCTACAACTTTCTGCAAGAGTTTCACATTTCACCTGCTTTTTTTATTCATCCATGTCATGAACGATTAAAAGGGTGTTGATTTATATTCTCTCCGACCCCCCTCAAAAAAAATCAAATAGTTCCTTATTACTAGGCTTTGATTTGAATTTGATGGCAAACTTTGTGTTTTTAGTTTAAGAGTAACACATTTCTAACCAAAATAACTCTTGCCATTACTAGTGATATCTATGTTTTAGTGATTTAGAATTTATTTTTTAATTAAAAAAAAAATGTAAATCGTATGGTGAAAGTGTCACCACACTGTGTAACATTCTGTATTTTATTACATCCTATTGTTCCTCCTTTGGTCTATAGTATTTAGATTTTTACTTATATCTAATTTACCTAGTGTCTTACACAAACGAATCACTGAAATGAAAGCACTTTTCAGTATAATTTATGCGGTTTGTGGCCAGGCTAGTTATTCCTAAATTGATACTTTGTACCATGTACTATCCTACCTATTTTATATATTGATTGTTATACTTTTCCTTCTCCAATTTCCCAGCTTTGTATCTGAGATCATAAAACTCCAGTCAAGATTATCAGTGTCCCCCACAAGCCCCCAACACTATGTAATTAATAGTGTTGTCTTGGGAAAGTTTTGTATCTATTTGTTTTATCTTTTATCATTTTAACTGTCCAATGTTGCCAAACACAAATATTACATTCCTTGTTCAATCTGTTTGGAGTAATGCTTATCAGTATCCATTTTTCCCCATCAAAGCTCCCTAAACCTCCTTTATAGTTGATGCCTCTCTAATATGATGGTTTTTATTCGTTTATCAAATAGTTCACCAAATATAATCAGGCAGGGCATTTTGGAAGAGTTTTATTAGTTTAATTGGGGCTTTTAAAGTGTCAAGCACTTTAAAGTGTCTAGCAGTGCTCCTCAACCCTATCTTCAAGGCACACCTAACAGTCCAGAACACTGGTGAGACCTCACTTGGAGTATTGTACACAGTACTGGAGACCGTATCTTCAGAAGGATATTGATACCTTAGAGAGGGTTCAGAGAAGGGCTACTAAACTGGTTCATGGATTGCAGGATAAAACTTACCAGGAAAAGGTTAAAGGATCTTAACATGTATAGCTTGGAGGAAAGACGAGACAGGGGGGATATGATAGAAACATTTAAATATATAAAAGGGAATCAACACAGTAAAGGAGGAGACTATATTTAAAAGAAGAAAAACTACCACAACAAGAGGACATAGTCTTAAATTAGAGGGACAAAGGTTTAAAAATAATATCAGGAAGCATTACTTTACTGAGAGGGTAGTGGATGCATGGAATAGCCTTCCAGCTGAAGTGGCAGAGGTTAACACAGTAAAGGAGTTTAAGCATGCATGGGATAGGCATAAGGCTATCCTAACTATAAGATAAGGCTAGGGACTAATGAAAGTTTTTAGAAAATTGGGCAGACTAGATGGGCCGAATGGTTCTTATCTGCCGTCACATTCTATGTTTCTATGTCCAGGATTTAGGGATTACACAGGAGTGTCTAAAATGTTTTAATTAAAAAACACCTAAGGTGTTTTTTATTATTTTCTTCTTCTTCTATACACTTTAGACACACCCGGTTAATCTCTAAATCCTGGACTGTTAGATATGTCTTGAAGATAGGGTTGAGGAGCACTGGTGTAGAGTACTCTCCACCCACCCGTAGCTCAGAGATGTGCTTATAACGGCAGCAGTTGGTGTTATTAGCCACTGTGTGCAGGGAAGGAACGCTAGGTGAACCTTTAATTAACCTTCAGACTGGACCCATGCTAGCAGCTTCTTTAGAAGAATTAAAGAAAAGCTCCTTTTGTTTTTTAAAATGGAAATGTCACTTCCCTCGATTTTTGTTATTTTTACTTACACTTACATTTGAAACTATGTATTTGTGAGGTGTTAAAAATGACATTAAATGATGTGCTCCCGCGACTGAAACCCTACAAACGACATTAAAACTGAGCCAACAACTTGCCCGACCGCAGAGCAAAACTAAGCCTGTTCCCAACACACCGGTGATGCTGGGGATACCTCTCAGGAGTTTCTCCGCCACTGGAAACCCTGACTCGAGGCTCTGCGGCTTACCAGCGACCGGGCAGGGGAGAGGCAGTCTTCTACTGCTTTGCCTGGCGGTAAGACACTCAAACAGGGTCGCTCCCCCATGGACCGACGGGGGTAATCCCGGTCCCCCCTGGCTAGCCCAGTGAACTCTCGCTGTGCTCGGAAGACAGACTCCTGCCACATGGAAATTCCGGCTGACACACCTAAGATGGCGGATGAGTTCCCTTAACAGGGGCACGTGCTGAACTGCATGCTGCAACGCATAGACAGGGTATTTAAGGTTTTGGCAGCGACTGGAGGCTAAAGCGCTATTCTCACAGCCCACTCCTCATCGGAGACTGCGCAATGGCGGGGGTCTCGGAAACCCTGACCTCCTTTTGGGGAAATCACGCCCAAATAAACCTCTCAAGCTGGACACTAACCTGCAGGAGCGGAGGGCCACGCCAGCTGCTGCCGCAACACTCCGATCAAGACAACGGAAACCAGGTACCCGCATCACGCGTAAGACAACCTGAGCCCCTCACGGCACACGGGTGGAGATGGCAACGACCTCACCTGCGGCTCGGACCCACAGATCCCAGCGACAGAACCCCCATACGGGTCAGTAAGAGCACAGAGGATGCCGTGACCTACTTACCACATACCGCAAAGCCCAGAGGCTCTCCTGCGCTACCGAGCAGAGGCATAGGCTACAGCAGCTGTTCTCCACCACAGCCCAGCAAAACGCTACACACTGGTGTCGCCGCGGCTCCATCCACAGGAATCGGATGAGCAGATATGGTCAAGGACCGACTCTTCTCTGAAGCCATAGACTCTATTACCACGCTGTCAGACCGTTATTGCAGAGAACGGCCAGCGGTTTTTATGCTACCGTATACTACCTTATAACGTATTTTTTTTTTTTATTCTACGGAGTGTCCATGTAAGCAAAACCATGGAGTATAAGATAACTGTTCATACCTTATTTTGCACAAATGTAGTCAGCGAGCTAAACTACACACAGCCTAGCATAGCATGCTTGCATAGCTACACTACTCACACATGTCCACTATCTATTGCAAAAATAACGGCACATGTCATGTTTTCCCTCTTTGTCATTCCTCTGATCATTTCTCCTTGACATGTATACCTTGCTAACTTACTTAAACTAAACGAGAAACCTAAACTGTTGAAACATTGCTTCTACGAAAACAAAAATGTGTCTGACTAGCAAATGTCACAACTTGTATTGTAAACTGAACATCACTTTACCCTGATGTCGCTGTTGTGGCGCACCAAGGCTGTTTGTTACCTTTGTGCAAAACAGAAATAAAGAATTAACATTTTAAAAAATGACATTAAATCTAGAAAGTCACACATCTTGATGCTGCAACTGGGTGCCTCCATCTTGGCTTCTTTCCAGTTATTGTTATAAGTTTTGTCTTTAGCAGCTGGCAGTCGGCACAGACAAAGCATGCAGGTTAGAGGATAAAATGAAAGTGTTTGTTTTTGTATTTCTTCCCCCCTGCCCTTCTTTGAAAATTTGCAGTGTTTGCACTGATTTTGCCTTATTTAATCTGGAGTATAATAGGATTTGTTAATCTAGAATAATTTTTGAAAGAAAATTGAAACTGTATTGGAGAAAAGGTTAGCTCAAATTATGGTTCTGCCCATAAACTGAAAAGCTTATTGTATTGCATCTGGTGTTTTGTGTGATATTTGGGGAGATTTTTTTTTTTAATCTGTCCGCACTATGAGCCTTTTAGTCTAGTCGTGGTTAGGTTGTAACAGGCTTAGAATTACCATTTCAGAACATAAGCAAGATGGGTACATAGGGCCAAAATTGGGGTCAGTTAAAGACACTTGGCAACAAGTAAGCAAATTACATGCTAAACAGTGATTGGTTCATGATGTAAAGATAAACTGCAACTGAATAACACTTTAAAGGTGTATTTTTCTCTCCATTCCACTTGTCACATTGAGGCCAGACTCTTTGTAACTTTATTTCCTGATAATTAGAGAAGCTGATTACACTTCTCAGTAGAAAAAAATACATTTTGGTAAGCATCTTTATTAGCGTTAATTTTGTTTTTTAAGCAAAAAGTAAAAAAAATTTACACTAAAAATATCTTGTAGCGTCTATCAACTAGTTTAATCTTTTACAATCAGCTTATTATTTTGGTTTCATTTGTGATGATGAATCTTGCGTAAAAGTGTCAATTCATTAAGTCGTCCTAAAAATCGCATTTCTAGTCCTCCATTGTGATCTGATTTTAGGCCACTTGTTTTATCCCTCCTCCTTGTACTATGACAAATGTGCTAAGCATTTGTGGTGGGAGATCTTGAAAATTCAGAAGGAAAACTTTATAGAAAACTGAAGATCTGATGTGCAACATGTTTTGGAATGGTTTATATAGATTTGATGGGATTGAAGCCAATCATAAATGTTACAATTTTCTACTAGCTTGGTGGTAGCAGGAATAATTAACATGAATTCACTTGTGATCTTAGAATTTAGATTCAGAAAAAGAGAAGGAGTTGGAAAGGCAAGCTCGAATTGAAGCAAGTTTACGTGAACGAGAACGGGAGGTGCAAAAAGCTCGATCAGAGCAAACAAAGGAGATTGACAGAGAGCGAGAGCAGCACAAGAGAGAAGAAGCCATTCAGAATTTCAAAGCTCTTCTTTCTGACATGGTAATATTTACATTTATATCTTTGTATGGACATCATCTTGTACCAGACTAAATTCTTACTTCAAGGCTAATGCAAGCTGTTTTTTCTGACTCATAGCAACTTATTATTTACAGGCATTTTTCATGCATCAAAATTATAAAAATATTGTACACTGTTATTATTTAATCAGAAATTATAAACATACACCAGACGCACACACATTTTTAAATATACATAGGTAGCAATTCACAATTCAATTATACATATGGAGGTAAAACATTCTGTCCCTTGTGTCTGGTGGAGAGTGCACTGTATCTGTGTGTTGCAGTGGACGAGACGGCTTCAGTTCCCTCTTTGTACTCCTGTGTGGCATGTCAAGTCTGCATAATATTTTAGCCCATAATATTTCTGGAACTTGTAAGTCTAAATGCTGCTCACATATAGAAGGGGAGGAGTGAAGTTGTCTTTGATGGCAGAGTCTACAGAGACAGTCTGCTTCCTTGAAAACTGGTCAGGAAAGATTGACCATTAGTACTGGCAGGAGGCAAATTATTGGTGCCAGGTCCCAGTGGGTTTGTGGAGCTTTTTCATGTAGTCTTGCCACAACGGTCAATATAAAATTATAAAGTCTGCAAATTCACAATATCAAGATCAAATATATATAATCACTGCTATATGTGTGAAGATCAAATGTGTATAATAATCACTACTATATGTAAAGATCATGCATTTTTATCTGCATATTTTGATTTAGTTTTCTCATACTTTTCTTTATATGCAACAAGACAATACTCTGGATTATGTACAGTTTTAAAAGTGACTACTACTACGAATAAGACCTGGAAGATAAGGCCAGGGACTAATGAAAGTATTTAGAAAATTGGGCAGACTAGATGGGGCGACTGGTTCTTATCTGCCGTCACAGTCTATGTTTCTATGGTCTTATGTTAATTCTCCTCCCCCTCACCCCCCCCCAGTAAAAAGCACTAGAAAACTAATCTATGTTCGGGAAAGTTTTTTTTTTTCTCCCAAACCTAAATTTGCGGGATTCCATGCCCTAGTGAACTGGTCTATGTTCGGGGGAATGACCCCAAACGTAGACCTGCTTTCTAGCGCATGCTTGCAACCGGTTACCCCTGAAAAATGCACTAGGGCTTATTTTTGGGGGATGTCTTATTTCTGGGGAAAAATGGTAGCAAGCATGTGCTAGAAACCAGGTCTACGTTTGGGGTCATTCCCCCGAACATAGACCAGTTCACTAGTGCATGGAATCCTGCAAATATATTTTCGAACAAACTTTCCCAAACATAGCTTAGTTTACTTGCGAATAGAATCCCGCGAATCTATGTTTATGGAAAATTCACCGAACATAGATTAGCAAACTAGCAACTAGGCCTTATTTTCGGGATTGGGCTTATATTATGAGCATCCCCAGAAAATAAGCTAGGGATTATTTTCAGGGGATGTCTTATTTTCAGGGAAACTGGGTATAAAGAATTTACACTCCATACTCTGAAATGTTTTTCTAAGTTCTGTGATCATGTGAACACACATATTCTAGACAAATTAGTCCAAAGCATGTTTCTCAAATGCTTTTTACTTCAATGTAGGTCCGATCGTCAGATGTTTCATGGTCTGATACAAGAAGAACATTGAGGAAAGATCACCGATGGGAGTCTGGCTCTTTATTAGAAAGGGAGGAGAAGGAAAAACTGTTCAATGAACACATAGATGCCCTTACGAAAAAGAAACGTGAACATTTCAGACAATTATTGGATGAAACCTATGCGGTAAAGTCTGCCAAACAGCCTTAACAAGTTTTAAATTAATGAAACCACTAGGAAAAATAAATACTTATTCATACATCAATCTTGGTTTGAACGGGGCTGCCTCTAAAATGAACACATCTTCCTATTTGTGTATATAGATGATATGATTATTTGGGCTGAGGGTCCTTTCCTTATTTTACCATTCATTTACATTTCTGTTTCATAATGCTGATTTTCAGATAACCTTAACATCTACATGGAAAGAGGTAAAGAAGATAATAAAAGAAGATCCTCGTTACATTAAGTTTTCTTCCAGTGACCGGGTAAGAAGAAAAATGTGTGAAATGTCAATGGTTAAAAATCCATTCCCATACAATGAGTTTGTTAGTAAAATATTTCTATTTTAAACGAAAGTGCACAAGACTGTCTCATTTATCTGTCTTTATATTACTAGTTAGGCTTCTTTTCCCATTTCCTTGAAATTTCCAGTCACGTGGAAATGCATGTTGATCATATTGTTTTTTTTTTGTTTTTTTTTTTTAATGTTTGTTTTAGTTTTTAAAGACCTTCAGTGTAACAGTACTTATAAAAAAAACTAATTATAGTAGACATAATTTGACATCGATTTGAAGTTGTGTACACCATTCATATAAATAAGACATAGAATAAGTAGATACGTCATAAAAATTATTTAAGAACAAATGTGTGAAGTATATCTCTTCTGTAGCTCAATATAGCTTTTGGGTAGGATGATTAATATATTCTTTGATTTCTTACTTGGGGCCCGCTGGTCACCACTTCCTGCCTCCACTACGAACACCGGAGAGCCAGATATGCCTGAGCAGGAAATTCTCTTACCTCTCGTAAATTAAGCCCTGCGTGTCTTAGTAGCTTCTGGCTCCCCGGCATTCCTAGGGAAGGAAGGGAGCGGCGCTCGGCAGAACTCTGGTAAGAAACTGTTCAAAAGCGTCTCGGCTCTGTACAGTGAGGTGGCACTAGGGCACCCCTGGTACTATAACAACTACAGCAAGCTCAACTCTTCCCTCCTTCCCTTTTTCTTTTATAGAAAAGACAGAGAGAATTTGAAGAATATATCCGAGATAAGCATATTACTGCCAAAGCGGATTTCAGGACATTATTGAAGGAAACAAAATTTATCACATACAGGTTTGTTTGTTTTGCAGTGAACATCAGCATTGTTTGGTTTGCTATATAATTAACTTTAAGTGGACTGCCCACTATTCCTCCTATTGCTGATATATCCAATACTTTATCCATATATAGTTTGAGATGTCACATCATTCATCATACTGCATGTTGTCATGCTCATAGCATAGAAATACACTTTCTATAGCTGTGTATTGAAATCTTAAGTTTCAGACAATCACTGGATGAAACTTGTACAGTAATGTCTTTTTTTTTAATTCTTTTTTTTGCTCTACTCCCTAATGTGCTTGTATTTTTTTTTTTTTTTAGTATCTATTTGCAAAGTATTTGTACTTAAAGTTTAATAAATGGACATGAAATGTTTTTTATTCTATGTATTTATCTGTTTCATAGCAATTGCAAGGAAGGCGACACCACATTTGCATTAGTCCATCTAAAGTTTACTAACCCCACTTTTGTTAATTTTATCATTTATCACATTTCCCTGGTGTTATTTATTTTCTAAGTATTTTGGCTGCCCGCTAATGTACAGTAATAGCCAATAATACATTTCCACCTATTGTGAAACCACAGCTCCCAATATTGTTCCACAGCAACGGAAGGCCCTTGTGTAAGCCAACCCTAATGCACAATTCAAATCTGAGGGACTGGAACAAGAGACAGAAAAGAAAACTTTTTCCCAACATTTTAGCTTACGGTGCTGCGTGATAAATCCTTGGTAAATTTATTTATCATATTGTGAGACAATATTGGAAAATAAAGCATGTTTGCAGCAGAAACCGTAGCTGCCTTTATTGCATGTAACAGTCACTTATTTTTTGGTTTTAGGCCTGTAGTTACTTTATGTTTATTAAACAATATACTGGCACGTTCGTTGTAAATATTTTTTTTAAATGATAATGGTCTTCTTTAACGTGATGCAGCCACTGCTATAAAGTCCCCGTTAAATATATTTTTATTAGGAATTACTCATGCATACAAGAAAACCCTATAATCTATATCTCCAAACAGAACTTAATTCAGAGTTCTTCAGCAATATAATGGCCTGTGGTCATGATGTAGCTACAATCTCATATCATAGAGAGGAATCTCCTCCAAGAGGATTTATAACCTGACTAAAGGTTAGTAATGGACATTATTCATACATCTACAGTATGGTAAATCAATAATGACATTAGAGTTAATTTAGAGGTACTTGAATCTGTCATTATAAACTGACAGTGCAATTTTTTTTAATCATCATTCTGAATGGTGTTTAGCATCTTCAAACATACAAAAGGAGGAAAGGTGTTGCCCATTGATATCTTCCTTCCCAACAGCATCTGATAAAGTCGTCCTTTCCCCGCCAAACCATTATTAACCCATGAAAAGAATCAATCTTCTTTAGCATTCTAGTAGATCGGATTTCAACCTTCTAGGTATCTCTGAACAGAAATTTGTGTATATAATTGCTGCTGTTATCCCCATTGTCTGGGCTCAAACTTTTCTTTTGCCTACTAGCCATTGTCAATTTGAAATTCAGCCCTGACAAGCCATACCTCCAGTAGGTGCCAGGCTGTGGGTGACCAGGGACCTGTATTAAGTGTTACAACGAAAAATTGTTTAATACTATGGAGGAGTAGGTCTCTGGCACTACAAGCATTTGTTTTTAAAGGACCAGTTTTAACCAGAACTTTATTATAATTATAAGAATCCTTGCAGTATGTAATTAAAAATAAAGTATATGTAAAAATACCTGATAATGTGGCCTCTACTTTCACAGAACAGTAGAACCGTCATATTCATACACCTTTGGTCGGACTATGGTAAAATACGACCATTGGGCTCCTGCTTTACTCCCTGCTCAGAGTGATGATGTCGTCAGCCAAACGAAATGCGAAATATTCCACACACTGTGCAGAAACAAGAGTGCTCTGCCTTAAGTCACTTTTCCCCTGTTAGTATGTCTAACTGTTGGACTGAGTGCTCTTCTCTGTGCTGTGTACATTGGCTAAAACATTGTATTGTACACATGCAGGAACAAGATTTATGCTCCATGCTTGCTCTTCATAAATCCTGAATGCGCTCAGAAGAAATAAGATTTTATTTCAGTACACTGTGTATTAATTATAAAGGAACACTTTTTCCTTATCAAGTTGACAGCCTTAGAGGACAATGAAGAAAATGATAGCAAAGCCAAACGTTCCAGTAGGTTAAAGAAAACTAAAGCGGCAAATGCAGGATTTGTTACTAATTCGGTTCTTAATAAATTAAAATCTAGATGCTTTCAACTCCTGTTAAAACAGCATATGGCCACTTGGTACGCTGTGTTTAGAACTTTTATTACTCTGAACTGTATTACATTTTTTTCTGGTGGGAGGTTCCCTCTTTGTAAGCTTGTTTGTAGCCAGATAAAGGGTCCTGAAGTTAAGCCATTGATCCTTATAAATTTGTAGGTGTAGCGATTCTGTGCCAGCATAAGACGTGCCTTCCTGCAGCATGGAGAGTTCAAATGCTTTAGGTGGGAAATCACTTAATCACACATACTTAACAGTATTTTTAAGGCATTACCCATCAATAGGAAGTGTAGGGTATCCTGGAAAATATGATTCTGGCAATCCTACTCCTGTAATACAATTTTATATATATATATATATATATATATATATATATTTTTTTTTTTTGTTTAATGATATTGCACAAACGTTGGCTCCTGTTGTGCTTTAGTCACAATCATATTCTACTGCTTCAACTTATGACCTTGTCTGTTTCAATATCACTGATTTAATTGCACTTCCTTTACAGATCTAAAAAGTTGGTCCAGGAGTCCGATCAGCATTTAAAGGATGTTGAGAAGGTTTTGCAAAATGACAAACGATATCTAGTACTTGACTGCATTCCTGAAGAGAGACGTAAACTTATTGTATCCTATGTAGATGATCTTGACCGACGTGGCCCTCCTCCACCACCAACAGCCTCAGAGCCTGCAAGGAGGTCCACAAAGTGATCACACAATACTTTGAACAAACTGGTATTTGTCCACTCGTACTAACTGCATGAGCCACCTGCCATGTTTATATCGGTTGATTCTACTGAAACCAACTACAAAATCTGTGAGGAAAAATAGTTTAAAAAAAAGAAAAGAAAAAGTCAAATACATAAACTCAAGGAGCAAAAATGAGCAACAACAGCCTCGGCATATATGAACAGGAAATGGTTATCTTTACAACATTATGGAGTTGTAACCTAGTGTTTGTGTATCACAGCTGTCATATTTGCTTGATTCGCTTGTTTTTTATCTCTCCCGACATTCATCAAGTAAGGTCTTATCTATGCCGATCCTCATGTACGGTATGTCTGTACCTCAATTACGTTCCATTCAAATACTTTTTAAATGTCCATTTAGAAAAGACTTATCAACATGTATTATTTAAGCAATGAAAAATAGGTGTTCATGAGAGTATTTGACAGACATATCCTCCTGAAGGAGCAGGCACTGTGTTCCTGTATATTGACCTGCTTGAGCTCCAAAGATTGAGCCTTTAGATCAGGTGTAGATTATTCTCAAGCCCACTTTAAGAATATTCTATGAGTTCTAGATCACCCTTTCTCCAGGAAATGTTTCCGACTAGTTAAGACATTAGTGAGAGGCCTTCATCCTTTGCTTCCAGTCCTAACTGGTAGCAAGTTTCTTGTATGAACGATTTGTTTCATTATTTTTTAAGGTTTCATTTTCCCCCCCTTTTTTTTTTTTTTTTTTTAAAGCCATAAAGTGGTCTTAGTTATTTTTGGAATAGAGGGGAGAGTTACTCATGAGGGTAGGTCTTGTTAAATTGTTTGCTCCATTTTGAATGATCTTGTGTTTCTAAGGTTTTAATTTTAAAATGTTGGATTTGTTCAGTTTATGTATTTGAACACAATAAACCCTTTTTATATATGTGGATTGCAAATGACTGCTAAATGTGTTTGCCACACTAAATTCCAGTTGCTTTTACATTTTAAACTGTAAATACTGTGTTTTTGGAAGTCCTATCAAACCCACTAATGGGTGTACATATTTTGTATTTTTGGGTGCTGCCATTGCTGCCATCCCAGTTGTATGTATATATTTTTTTAACCGACAATGATATGAAGAACAATAGTCAAGATCACCAAGAATTACTGAAAAATGTGGTATATAGCACAGAAAAATAACAGAGGCCATTGTTATATATTATAGATGGGTTTTTTTCTGTCAACTTGTTTCTCATTGTTCATAATGAAAAGTATTCACCCTTAGTGGTGGCAGCAACTACATTTATTGTAATCAATAAAAAAAAAAAATACTACCTGGTCAATTAGGTCTGTGTAGACAATGCATGTCCATCTCGTACAATGATACAAAAAAGCGATATGTGTGCACAAACCACAGTGCAATAAGTGCTCAACAAATAAATAGCAGAAAAAGACCTCCCTGAATCGGGTAGGATTTCCCCGAAGACTTCCTCCTGTCTTCAACAGAACATGTATAGAAAAAAAGGGGACGATCTGCTAAACAAATAACAAGAACAGTGCATAGCGCATAACTGTGTATATGAATAAACCAAATGTGTAGTTTTCAAATGGCCACTCACACTTTCGTTGAAATATAAATGCCTTGGAACTGAATTGCTCTTTTCAGCAAAATTGCTCTTTTCAGCATAAATGCCCTTCCAGGAATGATTCTTCCACCACTTTTAAACTCTCATGGAATAGTTAAAAGGTGTGTGCTCAAAGAAAAAAACAGAACTTGTAGTACATATTTAAAAATGTAGAAAAAATAATTTAATCACTTACATCTAAATATAAAACAATGGATGTATTCTCACTGTCACCACCAGGGGTCCTACGCGTTTCGTCCGTATGTAGGACTTCCTCAGGGACTTCAGTGACCAGAAATGACAGCATACAAATGAACAATAAACAACCCTTCCCTTCACCACCCTTTATACCTCCCCCAATGTCCACAAAACTCTTTATCCGAATCAGGTGCTTGAAATTTCAGTTCGACGGCCGATATCTATGACGTCATCCACATGCGTCCGTCGGTTTCGCATGCGTTCCACCATGCGTTCCACTGCCGAAACCCGGAAGTGCTTTATGCCTTCTATGTATGAATCACGTATTTCTATTCCAAGTCCCTCTCATTAGAGGCAGATTTAATTTACATGGATCGGAGGCAAGAAGAAAGGGGGGGGAGAGGGAAAAGGGAGAATTATACACTTCAAACAGTACTACAAGATTCCAAATATATATAACTAACACAGCCTCATTATACTTGATAACAAAAAACTGTATACACTATATAGTATATATGAATCTAATTAAAATCAAATAAAGATATATAATAGTAAATAAACAGACTAACATAACAAAAAATAACAAAAATAAATACATAATGTAAAAAATATAATATAATATAAAAAAATAAAATAAAAAATAAAAAATATAAAAAATAAAAATAAATAAAAATAAATAAAAATGAGAATAAAAATAAAAATGAAAAATAAAATAAAAATATAGCACACACACTTATAAGGTGGATAAAATGTGATATCCCAATTTATGTTGCATTTTTTCAAATATTCCAAAAGATATAGAGTATCCATACATTATTATTTTTCTCCTCTTTTTTCCTTTGATGAGATATTGAAAACATCCAGAAAAGGAGATTTATTAATTTTAACGTTATCATTGGATAAAATTAAGAAATTAAATTGAATTATAAAATATAGGATAGAATTCCATAAATGTAAAAAATAGAATTCGATCCATCCCCTGTCCTCTTTTTTCTTTTAGTGGAATGTCAAAGACATCCCACAAAGAGCTGTTGGTTGATTTTAAAGTTGTTCTTGATATAAAAAATAAAATAGATTATATTAAAAAAATTAAATAAAATTTGATGAATGGAAAAAGTATACTTATGATTGAAATTTAATTGAATTCAAAAAACGTCAAATCTCAGAATGCAGATTAAAAATCTGTAAACACAAATCCGACGCAGTTGGAATCCAACAAATCCCAGTATATATAAATCTGATATAATGAGAGTTCATTGAATTTCAGAATATATAAAAGGACAATTTGTCCATCCCAAAACCCATTCAAATTTAATGATACAAAAATATATTCTACTATGATATTTATGATGTGGAAAAATTATTACCTATACTATAAAAAATATATAGAAAAAATGCAACATTTACACTAATGGTGCAAACAGGTACCTACATAGTATTAATTTTCAAAAAAGCTCCATAGGTCTATATCCAAATTCAACCCATGTGGTTGCAACGTTTTTAATTTGTTTATCCAAAAAATCTCCCTTTGCGAGAGCTTTTTCATTAAATTGCCCCCTCTCCAATAAGGGTCAACCCGCTCTATACCCATGAAGGAAAAATTATTCCAATTAAATTTTCTGCAACTAGTGAAATGAATCGGTACTATATGTTTTGTTGACTTTTTCCTAATATTATTTTGATGTTCCAAAATTCTCTCTTTCAATTTTCGACCCGTTCTTCCCACATACTGTTTCCCACATGGGCACTGTAGCAGGTAGACCACATACCTCGAGTTGCAATTTATATTAGATTTAACTTTAAATTTCTCTTTGGTAGTTGTACTTATAAATTCTTTTTTCTGTATATACCTCTGGTTCTTGCAAGCCTTACATGAATTACAAGGATTAAAACCTTTAATATTAGAAAGTGTACCTTTGCGTCCGATTTTTAATGCGTAGCTTGGAGCTAATATATTTTTCAAATTTTTAGTTTTTTTGAAAATTATTGGTGCTTTTTTTGGGAGTACCTTTCCTAATATGGGGTCTTTGCACAAAATGTCCCAATGTCTGTTTAAAATCTTTTTTATATTCCAATGTTGTGTATTATATTGTGTAATAAACGAAAACTGATAATCTTTTTTTGGGATTGTTTTCTTTGGATTTGATTTCAAAAGACTTTTCCTATCTTTCTTTTCAATTTCTTGAATTTCTTTCTCCAATGGTGCTAATTCATATTTTTTAGTTAAAAATTTATTTTTCAAGTGTTTGGCCTGTTCATGGTAATCTATATCTCTTGAGCAATTTCGTCGTATTCTTGTTAGTTGGCTTCTTGGGATGGTTTCCAACCATTTATCATGATGACAGCTTTTTCTGTGTATGTAACTGTTACCATCAGTTTTTTTAAAATAACATTTAGACTGTATAGTCTGATTTTCAACAAAAAAGCAGACATCTAAAAAATTAATTGTAATAGGGTCTATCTCACATGTGAATTTTAAGCCATAATCATTATTACCAATGTAATCCAAAAATAACTGCAGTTCTTTATGTGATCCTTGCCAAATCATTATAACGTCATCAATAAAATGTTTCCATAGGACCAGGTTCGCTACCCAGCCATGCCCCCTCCATATGTGGTTGGATTCCCAATCCCGCATATATATGTTGGCATAGCTGGGGGCGAACCTGGTCCCCATTGCCGTACCAGTGATTTGGAGATAGAATGAGTCATCGAAGAAAAAATAATTGTGCTTCAAGATAAATAGCAGAAAAAGACCTCCCTGAATCAGGTAGGATTTCCCCGAAGACTTCCTCCTGTCTTCAACAGAACATGTATAGAAAAAAAGGGGACGATCTGCTAAACAAATAACAAGAACAGTGCATAGCGCATAACTGTGTATATGAATAAACCAAATGTATAGTTTTCAAATGGCCACTCACACTTTCGTTGAAATATAAATGCCTTGGAACTGAATTGCTCTTTTCAGCAAAATTGCTCTTTTCAGCATAAATGCCCTTCCAGGAATGATTCTTCCACCACTTTTAAACTCTCATGGAATAGTTAAAAGGTGTGTGCTCAAAGAAAAAAAACAGAACTTGTAGTACATATTTAAAAATGTAGAAAAAATAATTTAATCACTTACATCTAAATATAAAACAATGGATGTATTCTCACTGTCACCACCAGGGGTCCTACGCGTTTCGTCCGTATGTAGGACTTCCTCAGGGACTTCAGTGACCAGAAATGACAGCATACAAATGAACAATAAACAACCCTTCCCTTCACCACCCTTTATACCTCCCCCAATGTCCACAAAACTCTTTATCCGAATCAGGTGCTTGAAATTTCAGTTCGACGGCCGATATCTATGACGTCATCCACATGCGTCCGTCGGTTTCGCATGCGTTCCACCATGCGTTCCACTGCCGAAACCCGGAAGTGCTTTATGCCTTCTATGGGAAGGCCAATTATTAGTGGCATTGATTCGGTATCTGCACATTTGTCAGAATTTGTAGATTACAATCTTCAAAAATATACCCAAGAGGCACCCTCTTATTTGAAAGATACCTCACATATTTTAAGAATAGTAGAAGATATAAAATGGAAAGACGATTTCATTTGGGTAACTATAGATGTTTCATCTCTCTACACAATCATTAAACATCACAAGGGTCTGATTGCAGTAGAGCGGGTCATGGAGAGAGATGAAAGTGTTTCACCAGATTTTCGAAATTTTATACTTAAAAGCATTCATTACATCTTGAAGCACAATTATTTTTTCTTCGATGACTCATTCTATCTCCAAATCACTGGTACGGCAATGGGGACCAGGTTCGCCCCCGGCTATGCCAACATATATATGCGGGATTGGGAATCCAACCACATATGGAGGGGGCATGGCTGGGTAGCGAACCTGGTCCTATGGAAACGTTTTATTGATGACGTTATAATGATTTGGCAAGGATCACATAAAGAACTGCAGTTATTTTTGGATTACATTGGTAATAATGATTATGGCTTAAAATTCACATGTGAGATAGACCCTATTACAATTAATTTTTTAGATGTCTGCTTTTTTGTTGAAAATCAGACTATACAGTCTAAATGTTATTTTAAAAAAACTGATGGTAACAGTTACATACACAGAAAAAGCTGTCATCATGATAAATGGTTGGAAACCATCCCAAGAAGCCAACTAACAAGAATACGACGAAATTGCTCAAGAGATATAGATTACCATGAACAGGCCAAACACTTGAAAAATAAATTTTTAACTAAAAAATATGAATTAGCACCATTGGAGAAAGAAATTCAAGAAATTGAAAAGAAAGATAGGAAAAGTCTTTTGAAATCAAATCCAAAGAAAACAATCCCAAAAAAAGATTATCAGTTTTCGTTTATTACACAATATAATACACAACATTGGAATATAAAAAAGATTTTAAACAGACATTGGGACATTTTGTGCAAAGACCCCATATTAGGAAAGGTAC